GGAAGGTGGATTTGCAGCCCTTCCACAGGGGTCCTGTGAAGAATGGTGTTTCTGAAGGCCATATCCTCAGTGCCAGGAGTTTCCACCTTTGGAAGAAAAGGTGTCTTCCAAACAAGATTGGGATCTTCCTCCAGCTTTAGCAGCTGTGTGTGGCCTGTTGCTGAGGGGCACTCATGCATGTAGAAAGAGGCTGACACTTACTGATATGTTACATCAGGCAGAATGTGTAATATTTCTGAGTCATGGTTCTCTCCATTGGTAGAATAGAATTTATGTACTGTCATATAGGGTTATTGTAAGGAATAGAGGCAATTCATATAAAGTTTTAAAAGTTTCAAGGCCTGACTGTTTTGGGAAGTCATTAAATGGTAATGTTTTTGGCCAGAGCAATGGTTTAATGGGTAAAACCCATTAAAAAAACAAAAACAAAAACAAAAAAGCTTGATGAGCTGATTGATTTCTGGGACCTACGTGGTAGATCGAGGGAGAGAACCCGCTGCAGATTGCACTCTGCCTTCCACATGTGGGCATGGCACTTGCACAGGTATAATTTTAAAAATGGCAACTGTTGTTATTACTACCCTTGGAAGAACTGTTGGATAGGGTGTGTGATGTCGTTTTTAATGTAATTGAATATTATTTGCAGAAGATACCAACAATTAGATTCTAGTGGCATTTGGCGGAGTCTTGCATGTTGGGTTGGGTACATTGTGGTGGTATTAGGCATCTTTCCTTAGGTTCCCGTTGCCACATAGCCACACCATTTTGCCATAGCAATGAGGTTTAAACAGACACAAATCAGAATTACTCAAAGAACTTACAAAAGTTTTGTTAGAGCACATGGCCTTTAGTGAGAACTCTTGTTATTAGATTCTCAAGTAACTGATTGGATGGTGGTAAGCAGGACTTAGCCCAGAGAGGTGTCTGTAATCTCCTCACGCTCCACAAAGAGCTAGGGCAGTGCTGCAGTCAAGCTGTATGTGAAGACCCTCACATGCTGTCCCTGGGGCCGAGCAGAGGAGCTGCAGTGTTTCCTGAAGGCCAGTGCACAGCACACACTCCTAGGGCAGTGCCTTTTAAGTGGCAGGGTGATTTTGCCCTCCCCTTCTCTGAACAAGTGGCAATCTGGAGACAATTTTGATGGTTACATTGCCATGCTTCAGGCACAGGTAGAGGCCTGGGATGCCTCTTAATTTCTATAATGCAGCTGCCATAAAAGAAAAAAAAAGAAATTTTTTGTTCCTAAATACCAGTAGTTCCCAGACCAACCGCCCCAGAGTCTAGCTGCTGTATTCCTGAGTGGATTGTTTGATTGTGGGTTCAGAATAGGAGGGTCTAAATGTTTGCTTATTTGCATATTGTGCTACTGGGAGATACATGCAAAAGACAAGAAGTGATTACAAACAGGCAGATGAGGGAGCCAGGCGGGTGTTCAACCTCTCAGATTGGCTGAGCCCGTGCTTTCACCTGAGATTTGGATGTAACTAACCTTGATTCCACCTGAATCCTGAACCTGTGGGTGCTTGCCTGTTGCTTTTAAGAAGTAAAACTCAGTGAAACAAAAAAGTGTTTGTGTATGTGGGGAGGTGCCTGTTGTGCCTGCATGGCACTAGCAACTTCTCTCTTTTTTTTTTTTAAATTTTATTTTTACTTTATGTGTACTGTTGTGTGTCTGTCTGTTTGAGGGTGTCAAATCTTGGAGTCACAATAGTTATTAGCTGCCACGTGGGCACTGGGAATTGAACCTGAGTTCTTAGAAGATCAACCAGGGCTCCCAATCGCTGATCCATCTCTCCAGCCCACAAAAGGCTCTCTTAAGAGAAGTTCCCATGGTTGCCGTCGTCACTTACCCCACACAGCAGATTGGAGAAGTGCTTCTGCTTGTGGTTGTTGGGGAGGCCCTTTTCTTTGCACCAGAGCTGTATGTTGAAGTGGGAAGACTAGGACTCCTGCATAGTCAGTCCAGTGTTGTGGATACATGCTGAGCTCTTGCTCCTGGGGGCTGCTCGGCTCTAACTAGCTTGAGGGAAGCAGCACGAAACAGACTTGGTTTGACTTAGCATTAGAATGCCTTACAGATTGTATGGTAGTCTGGTTGCTTACTGGAATGTGCTCAAACAAGTGATTGTGTGTGTTCATGTGCATAGGCAGCCTTTCTCAAACTTAGAGCCCAGGTCCTGTTTTCTCTCAGCATCTCTCATGCCTTGTAGGATTAAATACTGTTTGGAAGTGATTCACTGGGACTGTGGTCCAGTGCTCAGGTGCTTCCTAGCAAAACAAGAGCCTGAGTTTGAGCTGTAGAGGGGAAAGGTCATGAAACCCAGTCTCATCAGCCTAGCTTGAGTGCTGTCCTCTGTTGGTTGCTTTTCTCAAGAATCTGTAAGAGAAAGCTGAGAAATCTGCAAGAGAAATATGTAGGAGGGGAAACTTATTATTGAAGTGTAATCGGTTAGCCTCGGTAGTCCAGCCTGAAGAGAATCGTTGGCATTTCTTCAGAAGAGCTGTCTTCTTCTCAGCTGTACTAATAATGTTTTCCCTATTTGAAATAGATGAATTAAAATTTCTTGCTGTAATGATGGCTGTTAACTAGTGTAGTCTGCAGAACTCCTGAAGGGTTTGCTTCTTCCTTCATTGAAGAAAAACATCATGGTGTGTCTTAGTTAGGGTTTGATTGCTCTGAAGAGACACCATGACCACAGCAACTCTTATAAAGGAAAACATTTAATTTACAGTTCAGAAGTTTAGTCCATTATCATCATAGTGGAACATGGCGGTGGTGTGCAGGCAGACATGGTGCTGGAGAAGGAGCTGAGAGTTCTTTTTTTTTTTTTCTTTTTAAGATTTATTTATTCTGTATACAGTGTTCTGTCTGCATGTATGCCTGCACACCAGAGGAGGGCGCCAGACCTCATTACAGATGATTGTGAGCCACTACCATGTGGGTACTGGGAATTGAACTCCGGATTTCTGGAAGAGCAGCCAGTGCTCTTAACCTCTGGGCCTTCTCTCCAACCCCAGTGCTGAGAGTTCTGCATCTTGATCTGCTTTCAGCAGGTGATGTCAGCCACTAGGTCTGACTTGAGCTTTTGAAACCTCCAACAAGGCCACACCTCTTAATAGTGCTATTGTCTATGGGCCTGTGGGAGCCAATTCATTCAAATCTGCTTAGGTCAGAACCACTCTTTGTAACTGCCATACTCAGGCAGTAAGGAACCAAGACACTGAATTCCAGAAAGTTTAAGCTTAGAATATATACAGGCCTTATGAATTATGAGGAGCCTGGCTCTCTTCCACTTCCCATCTGCTCCATGTTCTTCTTGTGCTTCCAACCATGCTTCTGTCTCCTTGCCTTTTTGTTTGTTTTTTTCGAGACAGCGCTTCTCTGCTTAGCCCTGTCTATGCTGGAAACTCACTCTGTAGACCATGCTGACTTTGAGCTCATAGAGATCCCCTGCCTCTGCCTTGTCCCGTTGCCTGGCATCTCCTTGCCATTCCTGTCTGCTGCCATGACCTATCTATCACTTTGTAATACTCAGGGATGAGGTACTGAGTCACATTCTCATTTTGCCGTCTCCAAGGCTGTTTCAGGCAGCCGTGAACCACAGTGACGTGGAGAGACCTTCATAAGCACAGCATTTGTTCTCCTTCTGCTTCAGGATTGTCCTCTATTGCTACTGGGGATGGACTGCCTGCCCCTTCCTCTCCCTACCCTCTTTCTCTTGTCACTGGCCTTGACATTCTCCCTCCCTAGTCATTCTACTGCCCAGGTTACTGAAGCTGTAAACACACTTTAAGGTAACCTTGGGAAACCAGCAGCCTCAGCGCTGGGAAGGGGGGTGATGAAGGTGGAGCTTCATCATCAGAACAGCACTGGTGCTCTCACTGTATCCTGGGGCTCTGTGTGATGAATGACTTTCCTTTCCAAGGCTTCCACACTGAGTGACCACGTCAACATTCTAACTTACTTTGGCTCTCCTACTGTGCCACTAAGGTAGAAAGCAGGGATTCTTGCTCAGTGGCGACTCCAGTTGACTGTTGGGGGTTTCCCATTGATCTGTTGGGCAGTTACTCTGTGGGCATCGCCCAAACATTTCAGGACTTAAGAGATAAAGGGAAAAGTAAGGAGCGTCTGAGAAAGAAGCTCACACCTGAAGATGTAAACAGATCTCATAATGTTGGTAACGTTAATAGATCTATAATGAACCTTCCAGAAAACAGTAGTTAAGTAGTTAAGTGCTCCTATCTTAAGAGTCCTAGGTTTGGGAAGGAACCTTGGAAAGCTAGCCCCAGGCCGCTTGTGAGCTGTCCCTCCTTTTAACACAACCCTCCCACTTCCCCTTCTCATTAAGGCTCCATTTAGCGTTAGGTAGGAACTTCAAGAGAGAAAACCCAATCATGTATAATCTCCAATTAATGGGCATCTGTTGAGCCACTAGGTCACCAAAAGGGATAATTACACAGTGCTTCTTTGTGTAGTAAATACATAAATGGGGAAAAATGTGTTCTGAAGGAAGGCAAGCCAGATTGTTAGTGACTAACAGCATCCTTTTGAGGGAGAACATTGGGGCACCCCTGTATGCTATGGAGCTATGGAGGGAGGGGGAGAGGGTACTTGGAGGGCCTTGTCACTTGTAATTCTAGTGGATGGAATGCATTACTAAACAGTAGCATTCCAGGAGACATTGCATGCAACCATTGGGAACTTGTGAGGCACTAAATTTCCTGCCACAAAGCCAAAAATGATGACGATGAAGGTGTACCTCAACCCTACCCCACAACTGAGCTGGTTCCCAGTCATGCCCAGCCTCCATTAGTGAAGACTGTATGCTTACTGTTGATTTATGAAAGCTGAATAGCTTGACCCAGAATGACATATGTTAGCCATAAACCAGAGTTTGCGTTCATCTACTCTAGTTTGAGATCTCAAAGTTTATGTCTTGTAGTCACTTAGGTCTTGTAGAACTCGGCATAATTCAAATAACCTGTTTTTCCCCCTTTAGAACACTTCAGTTATGGAAGATCAAAATGAAGATGAGTCCCCAAAGAAAAGTGCTCTTTGGCAGGTAGGCATGATAAGCTAGCAGATTACTGTAGATAAACTCTGCCCATGCTCGTGTCCTCACTGAGACCAGGGCCCAGCCTCTGCTTTGTGCAGGCAGGGTTGCTAGATTCAGAAGCCACCTACTTGCCCATCCTTTCCTCAGGGAAAGGTCCTTACTAGTAGTAAATAACTTTGGAGTTTTCTGAAAGATTCCAGAAGGGCAGTATCCTAAAATACTGGCTCTTTGGCTCAAGATAGACCACGTGGAAATTCTCCACCCGGGAATGGTGGAAGCTTTTAGTTTAGAGCCAAGGGCAAACCGGTCAGAAGGGCTGCTTTTTTCGGTTCGCACCCCTCCCCCACCCCTACTCTGCTCTTCCTGTAGGGTACTTTTTCTTTCATTTCAGTCTCTTGTGGATCTCTTCTTTTTTCTTCCAACCTCCCAGGATTTGTGGTGGGAGTCTGGGGACATGCAGACCTTTATGTTTTTACTAAGGATTCTGATGAACATTTTCTTGTGAGGACATGAGCAAAGGCATGTATAGAACAAACAACAAAGCAAAACAAAAAGTTACCTGGGCTCTTTAGTTAGAAACTACAGAGGTAGGTTAGTTAGCTAGAATAATATACACACAAATTTAAAAGGAAGTGAAACAAGGTAAAATAATGCCAGCACGGTTTGTCTGAGTCCACCAGGGAGCTGGAAGGAAAAGCTGAGAATGTGTATGTATCCTGTTTGTGTTTATTTGAGCATCAAGTGTAAAGGGAACATGCTTGACCTTCTTCCACATCTGCATGGCCATAGTTCTCTTCACTGTTGACCTTCAGTTTGCAGTGACTCCCAAGTCTTTAGCATCCAGGTTTCTTCATCTGTCTCTAGTCAGTTACTCGGTAGGAAACCCGATGGTAAATGAAACAACAATCCTTTTGCCTATCAAATGAGAAAATAGGTGTGAAAATACTGTGTGAGTTAGGAAGCAAGACAAATGCAGGCTGTTGCCATAATTGTGTTTGAGCTGTAGTGAAAGCAGATGTTCTGGGAAATGGTCACCTAGATGTTGAGTAGAGAAGGAAAGGGCACATGAAGTCTGTAGGACTCCACAGTTGGCATCCTACACACACGCAACCTTGTTCTTAGTGTGCTCCCCTTTCCACAGATGATCGCGTTCATAACACTGTAAAACGCAGCTTCCTTTGTTCCTTCCCATCGTTCAAAAGCTGTCTCTCCTTAGTGCAGCCTTACTTTACTTAAAGCGGAATTGTAGTGGCCACACTGTAACCGTTCCGTGTAGATGGCGTGCTGTAATTTGCATTACCAATTGCTTGCAGTTAGGCAGTCACTTATATTTTTTCCTGTTATAACATTATGATAACTGCTATGCTTAAAATAACAGACATCTCGAGTAGGTTAGATGGGAATGTCTTTCAACAAGCAAAACTTTTAAATGCCTGTTCAATGCTGCCCTCTGGTGGTAACAGGTGAATTAACAATTGAATTATTCTTGCTCCCCGGATTGGAGATGGCCTGGAGAGTTAGTTGGAGATGAATGGTTAAAGTAAATTAAGTGGAAGATAAATGCTTTCAGACCTTAACTCTAAATATAGACACAAAAACTTACTTGAGATACAAAGCTGAAAAGTTTTTGTTTGTTTGTTTGTTTGTTTTGGGGGGGGGGGGTCAAGGAAGGCCAGAAGTTTCCATTGAATATTTAGAAGCTGTCTTTCTTCAATGAGTTTAGTCTAGTTTAATTAGGGAACATACCAGTAATAAAAACTCTTCATTCCACATAAGATATTGGAAACAAGTTTATAATGGAATTAATGAACATTTGTAATTTATCTCTACAGGTCTGAATATCCTATTAGTATATATGAGTAGACAGGCATCAGAGGAACAATGGACAAATGACTGGGCAAGTGTATAACAAAAGCATTGATGTGGTTGGGTGTTGGTGGTGCATACCTTTAAGCCCAGCACTCTCGAGGCAGAGGCAGGTGGATCTTTGAGTTTGCAGCCAGTCTGGTCTACAGAACGAGTTCCAGGACAGCCAAGGCTACACAGAGAAACCCGGCCTTGAAAAACAAAATAGAACAGAACAAAACAAACCCCTGATGTGATTGTTTTAAAATAGAAGGTGATATTCTTCCTAGCATTAGTAGTTTTGTGGCTTTGAGTCGAGGGATGTAGACTAAATTGTTGTGGTGTGCAGGATGTGTCTGGTTGCACATAGTGTGAGTATGCAGATGTGTCTGCACATTGAGTGTCTTCTGTTATTCTCAGCCTTACCCTTGAGCTGGGGTCTCCTGCTGAACTGGAAACTTGCATTTTCATCTCTCCTGGCTAGCCACCGCGCTCTGGCACCTGCTTGTCCACATGCCTTCATGCTAGTGTTACAGACATGTGCAACCATGCCTGGAGTTTTAGTGGATGCTGAAGATTTGAACTCAGGGCCTCATGCTTGCACAGCAAGTGCTTTTACTTGCTGAGTCATCTTCTCAGCCTCTAGATTGTTGGATACTATCATCCAGAAGTGATATTATGGCTTTTTTCTTTTTCCTTTCTCTAAGGCAGGAGTACTAGAATTGAACCCTCCCTAGTACTTTATCCAGAGTCCTATGGTTTCAATTAAAAATTTTAAGTTAATTAATTTAATTAACAGATACACATGTTATAGTACAATATGGAAGCCACAGAACAACTTTCTGGAGTCGGTGATCTCTTTCTGTTAAGCGGGTTCCTGAGCTATTTCGTTGGCCATCAGATTAGATGATGCTGCTATGCAGGGACAGGTAGATGGAACTGATGGGAAAGACATTGCTGTAAGGAGCGCATTGATCATATAGGAACCACCCAGAATGAACACTTTTCCGGGTATACAGGAGTTACTTTGGACTGTTTTCTGAGGAGTAGGACAAAAGAAAGAATGGAAAGCCTAAACTGTTTGGCCAATATTTATTAGTCATGGGAGCTAATAAAGAGGGGGTCAACTATTAGGAGAAAATGGAACATTGTAGATGGACTTATTTTCATGTTCCTTCTTCTATTGAAATAAACTGGGGTTCTCGATGTGTTCCTCAAGTTCAGTCTGGTCTAGTGGACTCTGCAGCACTAGGAACTTGCTAAAGATAACAGTTTCTAGGGCTCTCATCCAGATAGACAGATAGAGTCTGTGTTGATAGGCTCCAGCTGCTAATACCTGGAGAATTGTTAGCATTACTGTACAGTAGCCAGCCAGCCCTGCTCCAATTGTAATCATACTTGCCTGTGGTCAGCTGTAGTCTAAACATAATAAGTGAGCTGGGCAGTAGTGGTGCACATCTTTAATCCCAGCACTCTGGAGGCAGAGACAGGCGGATCTCTGTGAGTTCGAGGCCAGCCTGATCTACAGAGCTAGTTCCAGAACAGGTTCCAAAGCTACAGAGAAACCTGTGGGGGGAGGCATTAAATGAAAAATTTCAGAAGTGTAGGGGGAGAAGGTATGTGCATATTCACATAACATCATAGCATATTGTTTTAAGTATTCTATTGTCAATAATCTTTTATGCATGATTTATAAGCTCAGCTTTATCATATATATATGTACATATATATATATATATATATATATGTGGAATCATGTAGCATTTAATATTATCCATGGGTTTAGGCATTTAGCTGAGGTCTTGGAAAATAACTTGAGTATAAGAGTGACATTAGCTTTTAATTTTGAAGAAGTGAGACAGACTACTACTAGCCAACCAGATGCCACCTTGTCAAGTTGGGCAGTTAGTTCCTCTAAGATGATCCTTTCCAAAATGACTTACCTAATGATGGGATGGTGTTGTGGAATTGCATTGGGGAATGGTGAGCTTACACACCAGTCAGCTTTGGAAACAGCTGCAACTTCAGCAATTACTGTGGTCATTAATTTGAGGATATGCATAGGCCCTGGCTGCGTTTTAATTATGAAATGAAGAAATAAATTAACAGAGAAATTGGTTTAGGTTAAAACTGGCATTTTAAGGTTAAATCCATAGGACAAAAAGTATTTCTAATGAAATTGGTGAAAAGCCTTTCTAGCTAATTATTGTTTCTTTGTTTTTCCAAAACAGATAAGTAACGGAACGTCATCTGTGATTGTCTCCAGAAAGAGGCCGTCAGAGGGGAACTACCAGAAAGAAAAGGACTTGTGTATTAAGTACTTTGACCAGTGGTCTGAATCGGATCAGGTGGAATTTGTGGAGCATCTTATCTCACGAATGTGTCATTATCAGCATGGACATATTAACTCCTACCTGAAGCCCATGTTGCAGCGGGACTTTATCACCGCCTTACCAGGTAATCATGGTTGGCCTGACAGTTGCTGGGCAGTGCAGGATGCCCAGTCCTTGAGCCTGGGAAGAGCTGAGTGGATGTGTGTGGCTACCCTGTGACCAGCGTTTCTGGGGACATTCACTGTGTTGTGGTTAGATTTTAATTCTTCCTCAAGTACCATATATTAAAATCCAGTAGATGTATTTCTAAGAATTCAGGCTGTTCCTGTGATTGATCACATGACAGTGTTATTGCTTCTTTTAGTTGCTTTTTGTTCTTAAAGATACACTTTTTAGGGCTGGAGGGATGGCTCAGAGGTTAAGAGCACTGACTGTTCTTCCGGAGGTCCTGAGTTCAGTTCTCAGCAACCTACATGGTGGTTCACAACTATCTGTAATGAGACCTGGTACCCTTTTCTGGCCTGAAGGCATATACACAGACAGAACACTGTATACATAATAAATAAATAAATCTTTTTTTTTTAAAAAAAGATACACTTTTTATTTTGATATGTATACAGTTTCTACTTTACCTTTACATGTAATTTAAAAAAATGTATGGAGCTGGCATGGTAACTCATGCCTGCTTTTCCCAGCACCCTTTAAGCTAAGATAGGAGGATTATTTGAGGCCAGCTAGGGAGATGCAGACAAAGACACATAGGTACATGTGCTCACACACACCTCTGCTTTCCCTTCTGTCTGCATCTTGGCAAGCCTCACAGCTGATGCTGTTCTCCTGTGTCTGAGGGATGCCTTAGGAAATGGCTCAGAATCGAGGAAATGATAGTGTGTCTTTGTTATGTTTCTCTTTATCCCCGCACCCCCTTGGTTTTTTGAGGCAGGGTTTCTCTATAGCTTTGGAGCCTGTCCTGGAACTCATTCTGTAGACCAGGCTGGCCCCGAACGCACAGAGATCCGCCTGTCACTGCCCCCCGAGTGCTGTGATTAAAGGTGTGCGCCACTTTCTTTTTCTCTTTTTTGTTTAGATTTATTTATTTTATGTGTATGAGTGTTTGTATAATGTGTTAACCACGTGTGTGTCTTGTGCCCATAGAGGTCAGCAGAGTGTCGGGTATCCTGGGACTGGAGTTCAAGGTGGTTGTGAGCCACTGCGTGGGTGCTGGGATCTTAGCCTGAGTCCTGTTAAAGAGAAGCAAGTACTTTTAACTGCTGGGCCATCTTTCCAGCTGTGTTGCATTTCTTGAAACTTGCTTCTCTATCCACTCCTTATTGCCACCCCACCACCCTCACTCATGTGTGTATTCTCATAGGTACATTTTTCTGGCTAAGTTTTATTTTATTTATTTATTTTTATTTTTTTAGAAAAGGGCTTTGTATTTATAACAGTTTTAGTTTTGAACAAAATTCAATGAAAAGTACAGAGCTCTTGTGTTCCTGCCTGTGCCTTCCACAGGGACACCCTCCTGAACTGTCAGTGCATTTATGTTCATGGGTGAACACAGTCATATTAGACCTTAGGATTCACTGTTGGAGTCCATCTAATGGGTCTGGGTAATAGGTAAACCTGTATCCACAGTCTCATTTAAGGTAGGTTCATTCTGCTTTGGCTTTTAACAACTTTTTCCTTTCTAATTTTGAAATGTTTCATCTTCAATTTGGCTAGGTAAGATGCAGAGCTCTGACTCCTGAAGGGAATACTGGCTCTTCTTTGATACAGTGTAGTGTCCTTATTGTCACCATGCCAGTTCAGGCCTTGGGACCCCCACCATGGCCCAGTGCTACTGTGCCAACCGTGCCTCAGGGAGCAGCAGGCTCTCAGCTCTCAGTGCTTTCACAGCACATGGGACCCAGCTGTACTCCTGGGCCTGGAGCTTGGGCTTCAAAGTGACGGAGAAACTTCTGACTTCTCTGTGCTCTTCAGAATTTCAGTTTATTGGGAATGTAAAGAATGTTTGAGAGTTAGCTGAGGAAGGCTGGACTCTGCTGGTTTTTGATGCCAGAATGTTGTTGTGTCTCCTATTAGTTGTTTTCCATTAGTGTCTTTAGAAAAGCAAATAGGAACCTTTTCCATCCAGAATTTCAGCCTTTATTTGCTTAGTTCAATTTCTCATTAGGCAGATTAGAATGACAAGGATCAGAAGAATAGGGTGAAATGCCTTTGGGTCACGTGGCTTGTTTGCCACGTGCTGTTGTAAAATGATAGTGGACAGGCATTGGTTCAGAGTTAGCAGAAAGGATAAAATCACTCAGTTAAGATCCTCTAGGAAATCCTTACCTTAGCCCCGAGTATTAAATAGATGGTTCATAACTGTCTTAGTTTGCTAGCTATTGCTATGCTCAAAAGCAACTTGGAAAGGAAAGGGTTGATTTCAGCTCACAATCCTCCATTAAGGGCAGTCGGGGCAGGAACTGAAGCAGAGACCAGGAAGGAAGGCTGATAACTGGCTCGCTCTCCTGGCAGGTGTTTGCTTTCTGTAGAACTCCAGCCAGTGTCAGATTGACAAAAACCCAGTTCAGAAAATTCTCTTATAATTGTGGAGGGTGGGGGGAGGGGCCTTTCTCTGTGAGAGACAGAATGGTATAGGTGAATGGATTCGTGTGTGTACCTCCTCTCTATGTAGCACACAGCATTTTTGCCGCCGGAACTCCAGAACCTTGGTCATTGAGCTGCTCCAGGAAGGGTCAGGGAAGCCTTTCAGTTGATGATTGAATTATTCCTCTTCGGTGACTGCAGACTAATGAGGCCAAGCTTCATTCTCTCAAGCAAATCTGTTTGTTGTTTGTTTGTTCTGTTGTTTTGGTTTTATTTTCTTTCCTCTCTTTTGCTTTCCAAATAGTTAGATGTGGATGATTGCCCCTTATGGTCACAGAATAGCCACAAGGTGGCACTGTTGAAGTTCCCCTGATAGTTTCAAGAGGTTCCTCTGGGGAGTGCACGCACAGCCTTGGAGAAGAGGCAGAACAGATGAACATGTGTTATGTATATAAATATGGTTAGTATAATTGCATACAATTCAGTTTTCATTACAGCGAATTTTAAGGCATTGTCCATATCTCTATTAAAGTGGAATTTTGTGGTATAGAATGTTACATGAAATGAATGGACTGTTGGCTGGGACATGGAAATATTTCTGTTAAAATGCTATTTGTTTTAACAGGATTTTATCTGAACATATATACATATGTCAGTGTATTTCATACTTGAGAATCTAATAGCCGGGAACAAGTTGATTGTGTTTGTGACTAGTAGACTCATATTCAACCTGGCATATACTAGACCTATGCTGGGAAGATAGGTCTGTGTGTGCTTATGTAGGTTTAATAAGATGCAGAACAACTTTTAATCATTCCACTAGTTCAGTGTTCAGTCTTTTCAGTAAGTACCTTGAGTTTGAATTTTTACTGTTAAGATTGACAATCACTTTAAAGTTTGATTGTGAAAAACAGTTAAAAAATTGTCTATAGTTTTGGCTTTTTTAAATGCTTACTGTGAACATTGTACCTGTCAGTATAGGAAAAATGGAAAATGTTTGTGGTTTCTGGCTCCTTTTGGTTCAGTGGAAAAAGTGATAATTATGATACGCTTTTCTAAAATCATGGTAAATGTTTAGTCTGCAATGTCAATTTCTGCAGGCCGAGTTTGTGGTTTGTAAGAACTGTTGTTAAAGGAAAATTTATACATTTAAAATAGAGGCAGATTGTACTTCAAAGGGGATGATAAGTCTTGCTGATCAATTTGGTGAAGTATCTGTGCAATCAAAAATGTTGGAACACTTAACTTCCTGACCATGGCTTATTCATTTGTCTAGCCCCCAAGTAAGGACAGAAAGCCATTATAGACTGTAAATGTGATAGACTAGATCAAAGGTCACAGTAGATGGGCAGAAATGAGCTAAGACTTTGGGCTGGATGCAAGGCCAGAGACCCAGCATCACAGAGTGTGAGCGTGGAGTTAGATAGCCCCTAGGGTTCACACCGCACTTTCTACACCTCATCTCATCTGTGTGGGGAGAGGATTAAAGACAGCGTGTGTGTCGTGTGCCTTGCACCTGGTGGGTGCTCCATGGAGGTGTTTCCACTGTCGTTTGGTTTTCTGGATAGTGTCATGGGAAGCCCTTGGATTTGTGACCTGTGCTTCTTTTTCTGCTTTTATAGCCCTTAGAGCTCCATATTACCAGGAAAGGCATCCACACATTGGTTGTAGGTGGTTGTCTTGTTTTAAAAGGTTTCTAACTTCAGATTTTATAACCAGAGCTGTGACTAGGGAGGCAAGGAGCAGTAGAGCTGGAGAGGAACGGACGTTTCTTTACAGCTGTCCTTTGAAAGGTTTCTAAAGTAATGGAAGTTTTTGTATGGTCTAAGCATGTTAAACCTGCCCTCATCAATGGCATTGAACTGACATCACACATTTGAAGTTCATTTTGATATGGTGATTTTTACACATTGAACATTGAAATCGGCACCTTTTAATTGTTTGAGTTTATTGCTGACGTTTTCCCAGATTCTCACGTGGCGCCTGTAATTAGCATCAGCAGCACTTCCAGAATTGTGCGTGCAGTGTCAGGCTGCATTCAGAGGCAGTGCTGTGTCCTCATATTGCCTCAGGAGGGGAGGAGGGGCCTCACTCAGCATGATAGAGTAATAAGAGCCAGGCACACTGTTTAGAAAAGTACTTAGTTTAACACCCCAAAGCACTTCATTCACCCTGACTAAAAGATTGCCTTGTGTTCAGTGACCTCCTTTTCCTTAGTGGACTTGAAACCAGAAAGTTCCAAGATTTGTATGACTCCTCAGGATGACTTCTGAAGAATCTTCTATTTAGTGGCTCAAGGTGCCCCAATAGAGTATTTGATTCTTATTCCTCTCAAACCATTTCAGGAATATGGGGCTTATACTAATAGAATGGAAACTGTAGCTGTGTTTTCTTTGCAGACTAAGACCATGGTAGCCTCCTTGAACATCCGAATCAGCTAAGGAGATGGGAGGGGGCAACTGAGGACATTATTGAGTATCTGTTATCTCTCTGGCCCTTTATGTCTCTTATGTTATTAGACTTCCCATTGGACTAGAGAGATTCCTTCCCTGTAAACTGGGTATTTAGAGTGCTTCTTTGGAGAGTTACTTTGCAGATTATATGTGCTAACTCCTTTCATTACTCAAGATCATTCCTCTGTTATGACTAATGATATCCAAAAAGAATAATAGATTTTCTTATGGCCATTCACATAGCAGTTGACTGAAACAAAATGTAAACCAGGGTATGTGGTTAACAGTGTTACATTTCCGTAAAACTAAAGCATGCTGACTCCTTTAAGGATGATATGAATTTAAAGTAGCAACCAAAAGAAAGGAGCCTAACCTTAGGTGTCGCTAGGATGGTGTTTAAATGAGCTCATGATATTTGAAAGAGGAAATATGTAAGGGATTTATGTATGCAAAAATTGACTTACTGGTGGCTTAGTTGTGAGGAATCAGTGAGGAGGAGAGATCCAAGGCTGCATGGGTACCCTTGCTATAAACCAGCAGTCTCTAAATTGTCAGCATTAGGTGGCACTTCCAGGAGTATGGACCCCTAGGCTGCCTTCTCCAGAGGCTGATTCAGTAGAAAGTCTGAGGGATCTGTTTTTGTTACTGTGCCTTTGAAAATCAGTGACCCTAACTGTTTCTAATCTAACACATGGCTTTAGCATCTTTAGCATGGTTGCAGAGTCTGGTTTATTAGTAAATTGGAAGTTTGGGTGCTGTTCTGGTTCTTCACAAGTGATGGGAGCCATTGAGACCTGGAGAGCCAGCTTTCTAATGCCTGCTCGCCTTGCTGTTGGTTTCATCTCTCCAAGAATAGAGGATTTGAAAGGAGAATTGTTTTGGACATGTTTATAACCAATTAGGAGGATCTAGTTAGTGATGTGGGGGTCATGTAAAGTGGACTGATAATATCCTGTGTAGGGCTAGAAAAGGAAGTTCAGTGAGCCCCCAGAGTTAGAGAAATCCAAAGAAGAGCTAAGTGAGTTTTCTCATGGCTAGAGAAATGTGATTAAACATGATTTTAATGATTCTCGTTAGGATAAGTATAGATTTCAGTTTATGACAGCTGAGAGATTCTGGAATTTAAACCCATAGTTTTCCCTATGATGGGGAAAGAGGTGTGCCTGTGACTACACAGATGTAGGGGAGGACGCGAGCACGCCGGTTCCCAGGTGTTTGAGCTTTGGAGAATGGTATCAATAACACTGACCTTCACATCATGTCAGATTATACAGAGAGAATTGAAGACAAAGTATCCAATCACCTGGAGGGAAGTTACAACAAAAGAAGGGTACTGTGCTTACTTGATGGCATAATGGTAATAGAAAAGGCTGGTTTTCACTCTTATTTAACTTAGTTCTTTTCCTTAAGCAATAAAGGAAAGAAAAATTGTGACCAAGCAAAACATGAATATATTTAGAAATCCTGCAAGCACATTTGCAGGGCAGTGACAGAGCTTGGGACTGGGGTTCAGAACTGGGTAGTTCTGAGAAGGTACTGAGTGTGTTGGTGCAGCTGGGCTATAGTCTTATCTGATGGTGCCCAGAGGGAACTGTGGGACAGCTCTCCAGGGTTTAAGAGCTGGGGAAGTGTTTGTAGGATGTCAGCTATCATACTGGATTTTACTCTTTAGTAGATCTTAATTAAAAAAAGTTAATTGGAATCTGAAAAGATTAGGTAGGGTATATAAGCCTCAAAGGATGAGTGCAGGATGTGAAAGATCTTTTTTGGCTCTGGGTTATGAGCTGGCGATTAATTTGTTTATGTGTGTTTTGTCATTTTTCTCCACTGAGAATAGACTGTATATGTTAAGAAGGGACCCAATGCAACTGATGCCAACCTGCAAATGCAAAGTTGCAAACCTAGTAAGTACCAGCAAGAGAGTGAGCAAGTAAGCCAGATTCAGCTGGTTCCTCTTCTGCCTGCTCTTAGCAGAGTCAAGGTCAGAAGAATGGTCTAAAGATGGCAGTGTCTTGATGAGAGCTTCTCCAGGTGTCTCTGAGGACTGACTTGACAGATGTGAATTGAACATATTTAGATGACTTAGAAAGCTGGTGGCTGAGTGTTAGGACCCTTGAGTATTAAGGGATTCATCAGTGATAGCCGGCCAGGGAAAGCTACTGTCCTGGGTGCTGTCCTTGGTTCTGACCCATTTCCTATGTTTCTTGTCAACTGGGGGTAAAAACAATCTGTTCACTCACTATGCAGGTCTACTGAGCAATACTCCCATTTCTGGATGCTCGAGGCTGAAGTGACTAGGTCACATGGAACTTTTGAAACTGAATTGTATTCAGGATAAGGATAAAGTGTTGCTGACCCCATCCCACCAGTGGTCACATTCAGAATTAAGGGGACTTGTTTTGATAGCAATGGGGAGAAGGGCGTAAGACTTTAACTTGCAGCCATCTCAGGAATCTGCTAGGATATGGCCATGAGGGGAAGAGGTGACTCTAGTAATTCGAGTGTACAGGATAGCAGTGGTGCCATGTGGCCTTCATTGTCAGGGGTGGAACGTGGGGCCTAGATCTAGTCCAGGGTAGAAACTTGTCATCAGCAGTGTAACTATGTCGTTTTGAACCATGCAGGCAAGACAGCGTTCCACCTGCCCCTGGCTAGTAACACTAAGCTTAGTGCTCCTGAGCTTGGAAAAGAGACCATCAACCCCCAGGGAATGCTGCCTTGCTCTGAAATCTTGTCATCAGCTTGCTTTCAGGTATTGTGCTAAAGGGTGGCTGCCGCCACCACCACCACTTAGTAGAAAACCAAGAACAAGTGTGTTTCAGGGTTTAGTTTGTGTCATAGAACACAGTGTGCACAGTACACAGTGAACTTAGGATGTGGAATTCGAACAGTCCAGGCTCAGGGATGAGTTGTACTTCCTGTAGCTACAGAGGACACACCTAGAACTACAAGGAGGAATGTAACAGATGGTGGCGGTACTGTGCATGGCGAACTCCATGGGAAAGTTCAGACAGAGCTGCGCATGAATCTCTTTGCAAGGCCCCTCACATTGTGTGAGTTTGTCTTGTGTTTTGGTGTGTGTGACCACAGCACTCCTGTGGCGGTCAGAAAACAACTTTTGGGAACCGGTTATCCCCTCCACTCTGACTTCCTCAGGTCAACAGACTCAGCTGACTCTCGTGGCTTACCCATCTGTGGGTTGTTTAACTCAGTCCTAAAGTGAGTAAGCACATGGCTGTTGCTTTTGAGGGTTTTTACCCATCTGCTCACAACAGAAAGTAGTTCTCCATCTGAGGGAGATGAGAGGATTTTAATTTTAATTCTTCATGTGCCTTAAAAAATGGGTCAGTCTCAGCTTTTGGCTCCTGTAGCTATCGAGGACTCACGGTGCAGTGTGGTTTATTGGAAGAGACCGAGAGTATAAGCAACAAGCACAGGCTTTGAAGCAAGGAATCTTGAGTTCCCCTTGTGGCTTCACTACAGAGCACAGCCTGAGAACTTTCCTTCTTGTGCCTCAGCTGTAACTTCGGAGAACCATTGGCTTGTGAGGGTTTGGCAGGAAAATGGGGAAGGAAAAAAAGTCTCAAAATTCTGAGAAAGAATTGTCCCCAGGGCAGCTTTTACACTAAAGCACCTGCTGTCGGCTGCACCTGTTTATGAGCTGTTCTCTTGGGTGTTTCCCCTGCCTCAGGGTTTACGAAAATAAGGGCTGTTCTGTGACCTCTGCCCTGCCCATTCTTTGCATTGCTTTTCTGTTTTGTAGAGCAAGGCCTAGATCACATAGCAGAAAACATCCTCTCCTACCTGGATGCCAGGTCTCTGTGTGCAGCAGAGCTGGTATGTAAGGAATGGCAGCGAGTGATCTCAGAAGGGATGCTATGGAAGAAGCTGATTGAGAGGATGGTGCGCACTGACCCTCTCTGGAAGGGCCTCTCAGAAAGAAGAGGGTGGTAAGTACGGAGTGCTTGTTTAGGGATATTTCACTTGGTCAGCTTGCTTGCTCAAGGCAATTCTGTTTGTGAATGTGTCAGTCTGTTTAAACAAGGAAAAAAGGATTAGTCAAGACTGGCTAGAGCTGTTAGAATCCCCCCTTCTGACACGTATGCGTTTGTTGTTGTAAAGTTAGGTACTTCAAATGGGTGATTCATTCATTTTTTTTTTAAGCTGTGAATTTATGCTTTTTCAGAACTCAGGCAATAATCCTATTGCAATGTGAGAGCTGGGGCTGGAGAGATGGCTCAGTTGTTGAGAACACTCGCTGGTTATTCAGAGGACCTTGGTTCAATTCCCGGAATCTACTTGACAGCTCACAACTGTCTGGTGCTCCATTTCCAGAGGATCTGATGCCCTCTTCTAGCCTCCATGGGCACCAGGCATGCATGTAGTGCACAGACATACTTGCAAGCAAAACCCCCATACATAAAACAATTTCTAAAGGAAAACATGAGTGTCAAGTAATGTTATTTGCTTTTGTAACTACTGGGGATTAAACCTGGGGCTCATTCATGGTAGGCAACTAACCGCTCTACCACTGAGCTGTACCGCTAGCCGGAGCTGTCACTTCATGTTCATTACTGCTCATGGGGAGGAATGGAAACACAGCCAGAGGGTTCCAAGAAAGCCTGTGAGCTTAAGTGCAGCTTGATAATTCTGTGTACTCTCAGTGCCATGGCTCAGTCAGCACAGAGAACAAGCTACAGACAGGCACAGGACTGGGAAGAGTGAGGGTGGGGCTGCATTTTCTTTATGGGAGGAGGTTTAATGTGGAGTAAGACTTCCCCTAAGCTTCATCAGCACTTGTTATGCATGTGGGTGAGTATAACCTGTAGAAAAGAGAACAAGGAAGGCTTAGGTCTTAGGGAATGAGGAAGGACTGAGTGTGGCTAATGGACTTGAGTAATGAAAAAGGGCTGATTGTTTCCTTGATTCTAACTCTGGCATGGAGTTTTCATTTTTTTGTAGTGGATAAGAGCATAAAAATATATTTGATAGTGGAAGTGTAAAATCCAGGGTGAAGGTCCACAGCTTCAGAGTGCCTATTGTAATTTTTGAGACGCTCACTAAGATATATGTATAGACTTTGCATTGTGTTCTGTTTATTTGCGAGTTTTTACTAATAAAGTTTATAGGGGAAAAATAGCCCTAGAATGAAAGCTTAATTATTTGTGTGACAGCACTCAGAAAACAAAAACCAGCATCATGCCAGAACTAAATTGTCTCTACCACGGAAACTGCAGTTTGTCAGGAACCTGCTTTGAACTGTTAACTTTCAGTGCAAGGGAAGACATTGAGCATGGGCTGTCCTGGTGAACAAGCACAAATACAATCTGCTCTTTTGTGTGCAAGAATGTAACATCTGTTTGTTTTCATTCCAGGGATCAGTACCTGTTTAAAAACAGACCTACAGATGGCCCTCCCAATTCATTTTATAGATCATTATACCCAAAGATTATCCAGGACATAGAGGTAACTGTTTCATTTAATTGTTCTGTATCCTTTGGGGTCTTGTTCTCTACTTTTTATTTTGTTTTAAAGGTCCTTTTGTTCTAAACTCATGGAACTCATTTTTTTTTTTTAAAGTTGAGCTTTGAAAATAAATGTTACAGTGGTACTCTGTGGCTCTTCTTCAGAGCCAATCATGTCTTTTTTATAGAAATACAGCTTTTCAAAAACATGAAATGCTTCTGTAAGGCTGCCAATTAATTAAAACCTTAATCCAAGATAAACTATATTCTAATTTGATAAATTTTCCACAATCCAAGGCCCAGTATTGTAGGTCAACACACTTCTATTTTGAGCCATCATTGTAGAAGGCATGCTTGCAGTCACCTCTCTTGAGTCAGGCATCGCTTTTCATAAAAGCGGCTCAAACTAGTATCCTAAGCAGCGGTGGAGTGGGCCTTGGAAAGCAGGTCATGCTTTGGGGCCACTGTGGAATTGACTGTAAGGTCAGTGACCAGCAGAGATCGGTGCACTTGCCGAGGAACGTTAGCAGGGATGGATGCTGTTGGCTGCTCCAGTGCAGTTTTATTACTCAGCTCTTTCTCTTGAACTAGGAAAGACATGCACAGGTACTTCTCATTAACTCTTTCACAGTGTTCTTGCCTGTTCTTGGTTACTTCACTATTTCCTCTTTGGCAGAAAAGTAGCTTTCGTTGGGCAATGCTGTATCTCCCATAAAGTTACAGCTGGTTTTCAGAATAGGGAGTAATCCTCTCCCCCAGGTGATGAACATAAAAGTTATTGTGCCAGAATTAGTTAATGGAGAACCATGTGCCTTTGTAGAGTTCATCCCCTGTCCCTTCTTAGGCAGATGCGAACTAATGGAGCCATCCCATTAATGGTGCACCTGTGTGTGACTAGATCTCATTCTTTAAAAGAGAAACTCTTGTCTGGAGCGTACACTCTAAAATGAACTAAAAACTAACCTTTTAGGGAGGGCTCAATAATTTAAGACCACTGCCAGATAAAGTTTAGAAATGAATTGACCTGTTGTTCAAAACTTGGACTGATGACCTGCAGTGCTTAGTGGACTGTCATCATAGTTTAGTGTTAGTGCACGTCAGGAGGAAGGGCTGCTCTAGGTAGGTGCACACGGCATCTCGGAAATGCCTTTCTGCTCTTTGGCAGGGAGAAGCTGTTGATAGAAACTGTCTGACTTTTCTTGAGTGGTCTCAAGAAGGCATTCCTTTTGAGGGGTTGCTGTTTAAAGCCAATTATTAATGAACAGGGACTCTGGAGAACCTTTATCAGATTGAGTTTTGGTGATGGAGATTATTTTATTTAGTCACCATGACTACCATTATAATTGACAGTGTGACAGCAGTTACCATAACTATTTCCTCAGACTGAAATAATACTTTAGAGCTAGCAGAGAAGGCAGATGTGATGGGAAATGTAGCCATTGGGGAAACACTGTTTGACACAAAACCTCTGCATCATGGTGGTCTTCCCAGTGGTTCTTAAAGTGTGGTTTGGGAAAACCCACTGCCTGGCCACAAGAGTCTCCTCCAGATTTTTGTGGCTAAGTTTCTTAGTATGAAGGATGACGCTTATACTTTGGTTTACTCACTAATAATAATAGTGACAGAAGCAGTGTACCACTAATTGAGCACTTACTTGTACCAGATACTTTGTTTAGCAGTTTATAGCATATTTTCTCATTAAATAGCCTAGACAGCATGAAAGTAGGTCAAGTTCGTATTGACAATTTCAGAAAGAAGGGCTGTCAAGGTAAGCTCTCACCCTGGATCAGTTCACAGCCATCCACACACTCTCTGGCCTGTCAGGGCAGACATGCCCATGAAAGTCCTTCCCTCTTGTGATCCACAGATCACAGTGTGAGGTACACAGATGAGTTCGGCCTTGTCCACGTGACTGCTGTGAAAGCTTCACCTGTAGGGCACCATGGTTATCACCTCTGTGGTGTGCCATGGATTGTGCTAGGGGAGTTACGTAGATGATTGCAACAATTTTACAGTGCCCACCCATGCCATATCCCTATCTGTAATAAAGGGAAACTGGAACTTTTACAACATATTACATAGAAGAGGTGGGCTTTTAGCTGAGGTCTGTCTAGCCCTAGGCTTACAGTTAGTTTTTTTTAACCCCCCCCCCCCATTTTCAAAGTAAAATATTCAGGAAGTGAAGGAGGAGAAATGTTTTATTCCTATAGACTTTCATCTTCCTCTGAGTGTGTGAATACCCAATACCTTGCCTGCTGGTCAAGTGGGCTGTGAACTAAGATGGAAGTCCTTGGCCTTGCTTTGGAAGGTTCTGAGGTAGAGCACCAGAATGTCAGATGAGTGCTCCCTTGCCCTTGCACAGTCTCTTCTTCCCCCTTACACTCCACGGAGAGGCACGTCTGTGACAGCACTTTGGCTCTTCCCTCCCCTCTATTTTGACAACTTGCCGAGTCCTGAAATACATCCATTCTCAGCATGGGCTCTGATGAGCACAGAGGAAAAGTGTTCCTCTCTGAACTTTACCTTCCACATCTAGTTACCAGAAATTGGCTATATTTTAAGGAAAAATAGACAACCGGGCTTTGTGTGGCTAGCTCCTGCGGTTCAGAAGATAGTGAAGCAAGACTCTGAGACTATGGAGAGTAGCTGACATTCTTCACTTTCTGCAAAGGCTCCTCCCTTCTGGGTGTTCTTGCCACGCAAGGTGTTTACGGGGCCTCTAAATTGAGAAGGAACTCCTGGCAAACCTGAGGTTTGTCCCACCAAGAGGCAGTCATACCCTGCTGCACCATCTAGAGTCCTAGTCAGTGCTGTTTTCAGGGCAGCTCACTGTGCATTGCAAGGTGCTTGGTTGGAATGGTTGAGCTTAACTCCCAGAACTGGATCCTGACTCCCCACACCCTCTCCACACCACACTCTCAAACGCACCCTTACATGCTAATGCCTTGAACTTGGTTTTTCTTTTCTGCCATTTCAGAGAAGGGACTCTTTATATTTACTGGGTAAGTGGCTTTGAAGCACTCTCCTTGGAGCTGGCCATAGGGAAAATGACGGTGTTTTGTATCACACCTTTTAATAAACCACATTTCATTCAGGGAAAGTGGAAGGCTTTTTTGTGGTTTGCAAACTTGATATTAACATTGTCCTGACTAGAAAATGCTGAAACTTGCCCACCCACCCAGTCATGTTTAGGCTTCTAAAAATAATGTTATTCCTCCATACTCAGACATCTGTTTTCACTCTGTTGCCAATTTAAATGCCGCTGTATACTCTGTGTATCATGGCTACTTTCCCAGTATTTTGAAATTTTGCGCAGGGTAAGGGGATTTTACAAGTTCTCTAACACGTGAAGTTCTCTTCTACAGTAGCGGTACCACGTGATAGCTCATGGCATGGCAGGTATTGGAGAGGGCACCTGTGTGACTAGCTTTATTGCTTCCCTTCTCAGATAATTACTGAGTTCTATCTGAGGATTGAGCCACCTTGCTGGGCCCACTATGAAATGTAGGCAGCCAGCAACACATAGCAGCCTAGACCAACACAATAATTCCTCCAATTTGGGGAGACCCTCCCTTTAATTAAAAACCCATTGTTTTTGACAGTGTTCCCAATAGGCTGTGGTAAGTGCATCACGTTTTATCTTATGTGGTCCCTTTGTTAGTTGGGGGAACAGATTCTCCTGGTCTGCTGCATGGAGGTGGAAGTCAGTGTACAGTCAGTACCACTGGCCAAGGCTGTCATTTGACTTGGGTCATTTCTACCACCAAGGGCTGCCAGGCTTGAAGGTCTAGTTTTTGTGAAAACCTGGTTTAGAAGAATTAAAAAACCAGTTGAGGTTGTCAGGCACGGTGGCAGTGTTCTGGGCAGGCATAATCATGAGCAGGTGCTGCTTTTGTGTGTGGGTGGCCTGCAGAAATAAGAAGAGGCGCCCAGGAGTGCCCTTGGTGGCTACATGGCTGTCAGAGGCTTCCTGTTGGGTTCCAGTAAGCTATATTTGACTTAGACAGAAAGTAGGGTGTCTGGTGGTGCATGTATGAAGTCCTGTCCTCCCTAACTCTCTGAGGGTCAGAAGTAGATGGGACAGCTCAGCTTTAAGACTTGGCCCAGGTCTTTCAGGAACTGATTCAGCTCTAGGTAACCATGTATTATCATCTTGGCTTCTCTCCCTCATCTGTCTGTTGTGTGTTAGATACAGTTAAACATTATGGTCAGCTCACCCCATTCTAGAAAACACCTTGAAGAGTAGTGGGAAAGTGTGTAAGGAGTTTTCTCATTTCCTCTATTTCCATAAGAAGTGCTTTTTTCCCCTTTAAACTTTTGTGTGATATAAATGTACTTTCACTGTTTCTTGAAATACAAAGTAAAGCCTACTTTAGATTCACACTACTTTAAAGCAGTGCCCGGTCTACACAGGGCATGCTATGTAGTCAGTGCTTTGGGTTCAAGTGGAATCACACACCCTCTGTCAACTCTGTGCCTCTGTAAGGATGTTACCCGAACACGAGTGACCACTATCCAAAGTCACTGGCTAGGCTAGGAGCAGACACTCCTTCGTAGTGTGTCTGGCTTCCTAGGTCAGCATTTCCTTGGAATTGTTAGCATGCTGAGGTGGCCAGTTGCTATCTAAAAAATATATTTATTTCTCTAGGTGTTTCTAAACATTAAGTTTGTGTTAAACATTTAATTTATTTAAAATTGGCTTAAATAAGTTTTTATACTCTTTACCCCTTTAAAACGTTGCTCATGGAGACAAATTGATAACCTGTCTTGAGATGTTGTACAGTATGTGTGTGTGGGGGGGGTGAGTTAGTTTTCCTGGTTTGGACATTTTCCCACCCACTAGAGATAATGTATAGTTTAGGAAGTCCTGATGGTAACAGGTGGACACAAACGATTTCCTACACTGCTGTTGTCTCCAGTGGGCGGAACATGGCTGTCCTGCTTGTTCCGTACTGGTCTTTGAATACCTAAATAGTATCAGGGCCCTTGCTAAGCACAAGGGTCACACATTTGTGACCTTTGTGGTGTATACTTGCCCTCTTAAGTACACATGTATTAAGATATATGTTATTAGCTCCACCTCTCCATTTCTTTCTCTACAAAAATGTGGGCAGTGGCTTGGTGGTGGTGGTGGTGCCGCCACCTAGCTTTAATCCTAGTACCTGGGAAACAGAAACAGGCAATCTCTGAGTTAGAGACCAGCCTGGTCTACATACAAAGCAAGTTCCAGGATAGCAGGACGGTTACAGAGAAACCCGATCTTCAAAATAACAACAAAAATACCCCCCCCCCCAAAACTTACCAACATTTATATCATGTTCATTATTAAAGGCCATCCAGAAATTAATATTTAAAGTATACAGGAAGATATGCCTACGTATATGAAAATATTATACTATTTAATTGGGTATTATCCCAGTACTTGGGAGGCTGAGGCAAGAAGATTGAGTTTAGTGAGGAGTACCTTTCAAAAAACAAACAAACAAAAAGAACATACACAAACAAAGAAATTATGCTATTTTACATAGTTATGCTATTTTACAAAATCTACACCCATAGATTTTTGGTATCTGCTGGGTTGTAGAGCCACTTCCCTGTGAATGTATACCCAGGGATGACCGTATATTAAATAGGACAGTGTTAGGAAGCATAGTGCCTGCCATGGAACATTGAGTGAATGCTAGCATTTTAAAGAGTGAATGAAATCTTGAAAGTAAGAGGCATTGTGGCTTATTGGGTATCAGGAGAACCGGCAATTAGACCTTTATTGTGAATAAAGGTGAGATTTATCTTCTTCAGTACAGCAGCAGTTATGTTTTAGCTACTTAGAAATCATCTTTCAAACAGAACTTAAAGTCGGATGTGGACAGCTATTGTTCCTGTTGTCTCCTGGTTTCAAAGGCTAAGAATCCAGACTGGCTAGACTTAGTAGAGGCGTATGTCTTTTAATCTTGGGTAGTCCCTGAGGCTAGGCCTTCTGGTGGATACCCTCTTTGAACTGGGCCAGGGTCTCAAGCCAGAGGTGCCTTTAGTGGCCCTTAGGTCCTGCATCCAGAGTTTGTATCATTTTTTGGCATGGACACTCCTCTGAATTGTTAGTGATATGTTTGTGTTCTGTGTTCTCTGCCTAAGAGCTAAGACTATCCTTTTTATACCAGTGAATATGTTCCTAGCAGAATCCTGGGCTGATCAGAACTGGGTTTGATTTCTAAGTTACTGTTTTTTGTGATCTTAAACAAGTTAAACTGTTTCCTTATTTATAAAAGGAAAACAGTGAGAAACACTGCTAAGATTATTGGCATAATCTTTAGCCAAATAAATTTAGTTCAGAGTGTAGGTGTTCCTCAGTGTACCATGAGGTTACAGCTGATAAGTTAAATAGTATTGGTCAAAATGTGTTTAACATATTTCTAATTGCACTATAGATTCCAGTTGCTTTCCTTTTGAAATCTTGTTGCAGATTATGGCTGGCTGCTGTCATCCAGCATCCAAGTGGCTAGCCAGGGAAAGGGTCAGAATTCAAAATACAGTTTCTGTTGAATGTGTATTGCTTTTGCATTACAAGGCCAAGGAAAAAAAAGTTAAGCCTAACCATTAAAAGTGAGGGGGGAGGGAGGGAGAAAGGAAGGGAGGGAGGGGGAGAGCGAGAGAGAGTTGGTGTTGAGACAGGTAGGGTCTTACTGTGAAGCTCAGGTAGGCCTTGAATATGCTATCTTGTGCCTCAGCTTCCCCAGTTCTGGAGTGCAAGTGTTTACCCTCACCACTGGCTTGATGCCTCCTTGGAATACAGCATGCATCCTTGATCTTTTACTCCTCAGTTATGGGAATATGCAACCGCTCATCAAGCAGTGCATGAATGATGAGAAAAGTAGGACCTGGAGCTAAAGTATTTCATTTTTATTGTTGTTGTTTTGTGGTTTGTTGTTTTTGTTTTCCTTTCGTTTTTCAAGACAGTATTTCTCTATGTAGCTCTGGCTGTCCTGGATCACGCTCTATAGACCAGAATGGCCCCCAACTCCAAGATCGGCCTGCCTCCACCTCCCAAATGCTGGGATTAAAGGCATGTGCACCACTAGGCAAAGTATTTCATTCTTATTAAAGTGATTTCAGTCTGGCTGGAGCTTAAATGTGCCAGTGCAGTTAGTTATCTGTGGTTGACAGGTACTAGCCAGTGATCAGACAACTCTTGAGTTTGCCGTGTAGGTTGTGATAATAGGGCTTAGCAACGGGGCAGTCTTTTGCCAAGTATTTTAATTGGTATTAGGGAGTAACTCAGTGAGATATTATTTATTTATATCTTGGGGGCAAATGATGTTCTTGAAACATACTGAATTCTGTCTAGTCCTTTTCAGAAATAACCCAGAACTCCCTAGAAATCACATGACAGCTGTCAGGTAGGCAGGGAGGGTTTCAGAAGAAATGTCGTTGGCTAATGTCTCACTAGGTAAAGAGCAAAATTGGGGTGTCAGTGGTATTCTGCTTCTGGAAGCAACACCAGAATGTGAAACAGTTGACTCACAGAACCCACCTCTTGCCTCCTTTCTCCAGACCATAGAATCAAATTGGCGGTGTGGACGGCACAACTTGCAGAGGATCCAGTGCCGCTCTGAAAATAGTAAAGGTGTCTACTGCTTGCAGTATGATGATGACAAGATCATCAGTGGCCTCCGAGACAACTCGATCAAGGCGAGTTACTGATTGTGTGTTATTTTAGAGTGGTGCTTAGGGTTGAAGTGCTGGTGTGGGGTGGCCTCTGCTACTGTGTAGATAGATTTCTATCTGTTCTCAGTGCCAGCAGCTTTCCTGTCATTCAAAAGCACCAGAGACGGCATCTCCTGGTCTCATCTCACTCGTCCCTGCCTGTGAATGAGCACGTTCACGTTTGATGCTCTCTGTTTACGTTTACAATCTCCTCAGAGTCCCTTGTTCTGCCCCTGGAGATCACCCTTTCACACCCCCATGCTCAGGAATCCAGTGGTCTTCCCATCTGTCTTCCTTCATATATATATAAGAAAGGATTCTTTCTTCCTACCCTCCCTCCCTCTGTCTCTCCGCCCCTCCCTCCCTTTAGCATTTCCTGTCAGTGCATCTACATAACACATAAGAAACTTTTGAAACTTGACGTCTTAATTTCACTCTCTTGCTTTGTTTAGTAATGTATTCAAAGTAGCATTCTGTGTTACTGGGTACACATTGCAGTGTGCTAATCCATTTAGTTCTCGAGGTATTCATGCTGCTTGTGGCTTCTCAGGATTGTGAATGGAGCCTGTATGAGTGAAAACCTGGAAACTGGATTGTGGGAACATACGCACAGTTCACCTGTGTGAGTGTTCTCACACCTGATTCTTAAGTGTTTAACTTTGTAATGAAATACTACATTTTCTTATTAAGAACTCTTGATAATTTATTTGGGGTTTTCAGGGAACAAACACTCCATTTTTTTTTTTTAAAAAAAGTTTTGAAGCTATCGGGGGTATGCATTTTGAAATGATCTTAGTAGAGGCTGTCACATTATTTACCAGAGAGCGAGCTGACTCTTCCCAGATTTTATTAAAAAAAAATCCCCTTTATCAAGCCGCTGATTGAATGAGCTAAGTGTTTACCTTAAGCAAAGCTTCGTGTCTATTCTGGAAGCTAGTTGGTATTGCCCCAGTTCTGTTTCCTCTTGTTATTTTCTGTTTGATACTCATCTTGTCCTACACCCTGTGTGCATTCTTTATGATTCAGAGTGCAGGGTGCACGAGAACCTTGGTGTAAAGTGTCTGCACTAATTGCTGTGATGGTTGTCTCGCCTCAATAGATTTGGGATAAAACCAGTCTGGAATGTTTGAAAGTGCTAACGGGACACACGGGCTCTGTCCTCTGCCTCCAGTATGATGAGCGAGTCATTGTAACTGGTTCTTCAGATTCAACGGTGAGGTGAGTGGTCTGGCTTCATTCTCTGACCCTCTTCAAGAATTTTTGCATGAATGTACACACACTACACCTACACACCTGCATACATACACACATGCATATTTTTACTTGTTGAAAATCAAGACTCTTTTTGATGGAGACATGTTAAGCAATTAGTTCAGAAGGCTGAGATTTTTTTAAAGGTGTCCTCTTCCTTTTGCTGTGTTCTGTAGAGATGGCAGTATGTTCTTCAATAAAATCAAACTGTTTATATTAGCTTGCCTCCTATTCTTAGGAGCCTGCTATCCAAAGCAGGAGAAAAAGTCAGTTGTTCTTGGAGTGTGAAGGGTGCAGGAACTGAAAGAATCAGACAATTTGTAGAGCCCTGGGAAAGTGAGGACTTTAAGCCAGAGATGATGCATTTGATTATGATACCTGCTTGAGTCCTCTTAGACATTGTCTTCATCTCTGCAGGTGTATTAAAAACCTGAGAGATTACATAATTTCCTTGGAACCAGTACATGTTTAAACCTTGAGTTTAGGTCACTCAATACTTTATTTATAGCCTTTACAATGATGGAAGCTTTAGTTTTTAGTTGCCACTCCAGGGCAGAGTGGAAAAGTCATTACAGAAGGGAGCGGTGACTGGTAGTTGGGTATCATGACTAAAACGGGAACGTTACTGAGATGTGCTCCTAGGCTCCTGGAAATCACACCTCCCGGTACCTGATATGCAGTGGGTGACAGTCCAGCAGAACAAAAGGGCATCATCATGTAGGGAAGTCCCAGAGGGAATGAGGAGCAGAAAGGAGCAGTTCATCTCAGCCGATTCAGAGGCTTGGGTAGGACTGCGTATTCACAGGCATTCGGAGGAGACAGGGTAGTTGTCAGTCGATCCCTGGCTTCTGTGATGTTCCCTTTCCGCTGCTTGTCTCATGTTACACTGTCAGATTCTGCTCAACCCTGCCCACAGCACAGCTACTCTCCATGCCCTCATTTGGCCTGTAGGCTGCTGCCTTGTCACAAAACACTGCTCAGCCTTCAAGGTCATCTTCTGCTTCACATCAGTGTATCCCTTAGTATGTTGGCACTCTTTGCATGTCTCAAGTGTCAGATAAGTCAGATAAAAATTACTTTGAAATGCCCCAGCTTAGTTTGCAAATAATAAGCAATAGGTTCCTTGACATGCCAGAGGCCAATGAAAACCTTTAGCTTGGGATTACCGTGGGCTCCTCCTCTTGTCTCAAAGTCACTGAAAGCCTGCTGACTTGAGGGGTCATCTTTGTCACTGTGCAAACCTGAAGCCATCCCTCAGTTAATCACACTGAGTGTGAGATAAATCTGAGCCCAGCCAGATTTAGCCTTCTTCCTAAAGGCATCTTAGTTGTTGTCAGCAGCAAGGAGGCCACTGCCCAGGCTCTGTTGCACACTGTGTATATGCATGCTTTATGCTATGCTCCTGGGTGTGGGGTTCTGCTGTTAGCAGTCTGGCAGAATATACTTGGGGTACAGGGGCATGCACTTGGTACGCTAAGAGTGAGACTGAACCTAGGCATTACCTTTCTTCGGCTCTCAGTGCCACAACTTTCTGTTCTCTTCCAGAGTCTGGGATGTGAACACGGGTGAAGTTCTCAACACACTCATCCATCACAATGAAGCTGTGCTGCACTTACGCTTCAGCAATGGACTGATGGTGACTTGTTCCAAGGACCGTTCCATTGCTGTATGGGACATGGCTTCTGCCACTGATATCACTTTACGCCGTGTCCTGGTTGGCCACCGTGCTGCTGTCAATGTAGTAGACTTTGATGATAAGTACATTGTGTCTGCCTCTGGAGACAGGACCATTAAAGTGAGTGTGTTTGCAGTGTTGGCCCTGACTCTTCCCACCTGTACACAGCAGAGAATAGGCAGAGGTGGCTCCCCCGGGTGGCAGGGTCTAATCTTTGATGAGATCCTCCCATTTCACATGCTTCTGGAGCCACAGACAGGACGGAAGAAAAAAGTCATTGGTTGCCAATTGAATGAAATGACATTGTTGGTTTTTCTGTGTAAGAGCCTTTGACAGTCCCAGGACTCACTCTGTAGACCAGGCTGGCCTCGAACTCAAAGATCCACCTGCCTCTGCCTCCCTAGTGCTGGGAGTAAAGGTGTGCACCACCACTGCCTGGCTGTTAGTCACCTTTTTAAGAGACAGAGATTAAGCTGAGCATGCTGTATGTGTAGGAGCTTTTCGTCCTTCCCTCACTCACACCACCACTACCACAGCACTTTATTAGGGCGAGCATCTGATTCACAAACAGCTCACATTGGTCCTGTGGAGCTTAGGTTTGCTTTATTCTTTTCCGAGAGTTTGCTATTGTATAGGCCCTGGTTAGATGCTAGGGAAAGAAGGATGAACAAGCCATGTCCCTGTCTTCAGGAAGCTAAGCTGGGGGCTGGGACAGATGAAAGGCAAAATGTGGCCAGCAGTTGTAGACTAAGATGTATGGGAAATTCAGTTCTGATTCCTTTATCTGTGTTAACTTATTTAAAGTTTAGCTTTCCCTGTGTGTGTGTGTGTACATATATATATATATTTGATTATATATATGTACACATATATATGTACATATATAAATATATATAATTATATATATATTTAATCATGAATATATATATATATTCATGATTAAATTGATTCATTAACAATTTCACACCTTGTTCATACTGACCATTTTCACCCAGCCTCCCACTTTGCTATTCTCTATTTTCCCACAGATCTCTTTCCCACTTTCATCTCTGTTCATTTTGTTCTGTGATCCATTGAATTTGACCAGTGTTGACTGGGGACTATGGGTTTAGAGTTGTCTGTTGGAGCCCAATGGGCTCAGAGGTGGGTGCACAACTGCAGACAGTGACCCCCCTTTCTCAGAATCAGTAGCCAATAGTTATCAGTAAGGCCTCATAAGATCCAGATTTCTTACATATTTATTGTCTATAATTTCCATACCTGAAGATTTGCCTTTTCCAAATGTACTATTAGCGCATTTACATCTTTGTATAACATTACCCCAGCCTAGTTTGTAAACACTTTTTCCTACAACACTAAATATGCAGGAGAGTCAACCACCTGTTCCTGACATTCAGCATTCTACCTTCTGTCTCTGAATTTGCCTGTTCTAGACATTTCATGTAAATGGAATCCTACACAATGTGGCCCTTTGTATCTGACTTTCTCATGTAACACAGGGCTTAACCCAGACCAGTGCTTTGTTGCTTCTGATGGCCAAATGTGTCTTCACTCTAAGCAAATGACACTTTGTTTTCCCCTTCTGTGCTGGTGCACTGTTGCTTGTTTCCCTTTGCTGGCAATATAAATGATGTTGCTGTAAACATTTGCCTGTTCCTCTATGCATGCTCTTAGTTCTCTTAATTGGTTAACATCCCAGGGAACTGCCAAGTGCTTTTCCAGTGTGACTGTCCCATGTTATAGTCCTGCTAGCATAAGGCTTTGTGCTAGTTTTAAGAACGTTCTAGCCAGGTGTTAGTGGCGCACGCCTTTAATCCCAGCACTCGGGAGGCAGAGGCAGGGGGATCTCTGTGAGTTCGAGGCCAGCTAGTTTTACAGAGCTACTTTCAGGACAGTGTCAGCTAGGGCTTTTACTCGGAGAAACCCTGTCTTGAAAAACAAACAAACAAGTAAGCAAGCAAACAAATAAACTGGTACTAGGCAGTGCTCTGTGCTCTGGTAACTTGTCCCACAAATCACGGGCCATATCACATCAAAACTTAGGTGTCTGGAAGCTGAACCAGTAGATTTTGTGTACCTAATTAGAAAATTAGGAGTATCTGCAGTTTGGCTTGCACTCTTTGGTGGTGAGTCGTGTCTTACTTATTGGCCACTGTGTACCTGCTCTGGAGAAATGTGTTTAAATCTTAAGCCCATTTAAAAACTTGGTTTTATTTTTCTGGTTGAGTTATAATTTTTTTTTTATACCTTGGAAATGAGCTCCTTAATCAGATAAATGATTTTGCTCTTACTTTGTTGATACCATCCTTGGAATCACAATTAACTTTAATTTTGATGACATCCGTTTATTTTTTTGTGTGTGTTGCGTGTGCTTTTTTTGTGATACCTAAGAAACCATTGCCTGTCACTAGAGATTTAGTCTTTTGTTCCTCCTCCCCGAGGGTTGTATAAATTTCGGCTCTTCCATTTAGACCTTTGATCTATTTTGAATTAAATTTTTGTATACGGCATGGGCTTGGGGGTCTAACTCCATCTGGAGGGGATGGGCATAGAAATACCAGCTCATTCCATGGAGCTGCAAACGCATCTGGCTCACCAGCTCAGAAACTCCAGCGACTGTGTCCTCTTGTCTGGCTCATCACATAGTAAGTGTGCCCGTGAGCATCTGCATGTTACAGGCAGATTCACAAGAGGGGAGTATTTATATCATGTATGGAATATTAGGAGTCATGTGGCAAAATATATGGTGCTATTCCAGAAACTGGTGAGATGAGGAGGGTGTAGACGGTGAAGATTTTGTATGTCAGTACATGAAGTGTGCCGTGTAAGCTAGTGTGAAAACAGAATCTGACATAGACTTTCCTCCACACAAAAATACCTGCGCCTTCTAGATGTTGTCTTTGTGAAAATGTCACAGTTTAGAGACTCCTAAACTCCCCTGTATTTCATCCCAGTTTCATTACCCACAGCCAGGAAAGCTCACGCTGTCCAGTTTCTACCTAGCCATTGGTAGCCACGGAGAACGTTTATGGCCAGTCATTTGGGGTCATTCTTGGAGTGTGCCCCTGCCTCCACTCTGCAGTCACACTGTCTTTAAGCTTGCCATCCTCCTGCCTCAGCCTTCTGAACAAGGATTGTAGGATGCATCTCTTTGCCCAGCTTCCTCTGAAGGTATCTTGTGGCAGGATTTGGTGTCTTCTAACAGCGCTGCTGTCTGTCCACAGGTGTGGAGCACCAGCACTTGTGAGTTTGTTCGCACTCTGAATGGGCATAAGCGGGGTATCGCCTGTCTGCAGTACAGAGACCGGCTGGTTGTTAGCGGATCATCAGATAACACTATCCGGTGCGTAGAAATTGATATTGGTTTATTTATTTATTACAAAAAAACAATCAGTAGGAAACAAAACTGAAAGGGTCTCTTTCTCCAGAATTAGAACACATACGAGTTTATAACCTATGTATCATGCAGAGGAGAATGCTTGATGTGGCCAATGGTTTGGTTTTCTGAGACACTGCACACCCAGCGAGTCTGAGATGCAGCCCTCAGGAACCAAGCACCTCTGATATCTAACACACACAAGCACCACTGAGCTTCGTCAAGATTTGGAGACAGACCACTGGGACTAGAGTCCCTGCCTCTGTGTGATCTCCCTGTCCTTCCTTGGTGGACATGCTTTCTTCCTTTCCTGCCCCAAGTTCATCTCTTCTGAAGCCACCAGGCTCAGGATTTATCACCTGAGATACCAAAAGAATTCCCAGGCACTTAGCATAATTGAAATAGCTTGTTGAGATGATTTTTTAAAAAAGTCTCTTAAAAGTTTCAAATTACATAAAATATAACAGAAATGAGGCTTCTGCCTAAATTAGTGCTAGAAGCACAAATGTTAGAACTCGATTTAGCTATACACATGTGATATGAGCCAGGAGTAAGATGAGAATATGGAATTCAAGGAGAATGAAAAGTCTTACCTGTATGAAACATGTGTACAGACTTAGAAGGCTTGAGTCACATGGGAATTTGTTTCATAGATGACTGCTTCTTATTTAAGGCTATGGGATATTGAATGTGGTGCCTGTCTAAGAGTCCTAGAGGGGCACGAAGAATTGGTCCGATGCATCCGTTTTGATAACAAGAGGATTGTCAGCGGCGCCTATGATGGGTATGTGTTTAGTCTGCACATGCATGACTGTAGCCTTCTCAGGAACAAAACTGTTGTCTATTAATAAAGAACTCTATGCGTGCTGGACTCTGTGTGAGAAAGATCTGACATACCAGTGGGTCAGGTGAGGATGCCCAGGCCCAGAAAGTTGAAGTAAAGCTTGCCTCAATCATACCATAGCCAGGCACTTGAGTTCTAGCTTTTATTCTAACTATTGCCAGAAATAGAAAGAGTAGGGCCTGCAGATGGCTCAGTAGTTGAGGGTGCTTGCTGCACAAGCCTGGCAAACTGAGTTCAACCCTGGAACCCTTGGAGAAGGAGAGCACTCACTACACCCGTGTGCATGCACGTACACACAGGGAATTAAACCACCTTAATTATAAATAAACCAGGAACACCACTATCCTCCCCGCTTGAACTCAGTAATATAATTCCTCTTTTTCTCTTTTGTTCTCAATGACAAATGGAGCCTTTAAGCCCCAATCCTGCATTATATAAGCCTGATCATCTAAACATTTCATTTGGAGGAAGGCATTCTAGGAGTCTCGTACTCAGTTACCCAAGTAATGAATTTGGTGACATAGATGCCTAGTTAGGAACCCAAGTCCTCTGCCTGTTTATCTCCTTAACAGTAACATCCCTTTAAAGTTTCAGGAACTCTGGGAAGGTTTTCCCAAAATCAGGCACTCAAAATCTAAGTTCAGGAACTTAGAAACATCAGCATGTTGCTCACAGGTTTGGTGGAGACTCAGATGCACGCTGGCTTGTCATGGATGTCCATGATGTAGACAATGTTAACTTTTGCATTAATCCCAGTCATTTTTCCCTTGTAGGAAGATTAAAGTCTGGGACTTGCAAGCTGCTCTTGACCCTCGGGCCCCGGCAAGCACGTTGTGTCTGCGTACCTTGGTGGTATGTGATTTGTTGGGATGGATGGGGTACCCAGGAAAGCTTGTAAGCTTGTGTCTTGTACCATGCTTTCAGGGAATCATGGGTAATTTTGACCAAGGAATGTAGCATCTTTATTAGTATGATAAAGGGTCCTCTGGAGGCGGGCTGGCACCCTCATGTAGCGAGGCGGAGTCTTCAGTGCCCGGCTGTGTTGCATTTTAGATTTTACTTTGTTATTTTGTTTGGTTTGTTTGGTTTGGTTTGGTTTGGTTTTCAAGACAGGGTTTTTCTGTATCTTTGGAGCCTGTCCTGGAACTCGCTCTGTGGACCAGGCTGGCATCAGACTCACAGAGATCTGCCTGCCTCTGCCTCCCGAGTACTGGGATTAAAGGTGTGTGCCACCACCGCCCGGCCATGTGTTACATTTTGTAATTGCACATTTGTGTACTGCTAAGGTAGAATTTGTCATCACCCTGTGTTACATGGATTAATGTTTTGCCTTATAGGAACACTTTAATTTTTAAAGTTTATTTTGAATTAATAAATAATTATGTATTGCTAAAGTATATAGTCTGATATTTTGGCCTATTAAATTTTAATTTATGAGTCCATCAATTTTAATTTCTTTGTGACAGAAATATTAAAAATCTGTTTTTAAACCAAGTGTGGTAGCTCAGAGCTGTAATCTCAGCTCTTGGGAGGTAGAGGCAGGAGGATCAGGAGTCATCCTTGGCTACACAGTGAGTGTGAGGCCAGCTTGGGATACATAAGACTCTGTCACCCACCTGCAAAAACAAAAACAAACAAAAAAAGCAAAGCTACTTTTCATAAATTCTGAAGTACACAACACTTTGCCTTTTGTTGTGGTCAAACAGTAATTCAGTGGCTGATTAACAGGGGTTCTTGCACTCTAACCGAAACTTTGGACCCTTTGATGAACATTGAATTCGACCCATCTTTCTCGCTCCATCTAGCTGTCTCCCACCCCCCACTCTGGTATTCTCTTTTTCGTCTCATTTCTGTGAGAATCCACAGTCTGTGGAATTCTTATCTGTCTGTGCCTGGCCTATGATACTAACTTAATGACCTCCAGCTGATTGCTCGTTCATGTCAGTGCAAATAGCAGAATAGCTTGGTTGTTTTAAGACCAAATAAATGCTTTATTTTGATATGTCAGTAATGTTATCAAAGCTGTTGATATCTAATACTGATTCTGTTGGATTTTTTTTTTTTTTTGAGAAAACATCTGAAAACAGTGATGGGCTGTCCGTGAAAATGTTGTGAATGTTTTGCTTACTTGCATGTGCATTCACCTTGTGTGCTTATTGGATCCCAGGAACTAGAGTTATGGAGCTTGTGAGCCCCCATATAGGTGCTGGGAACTGAGTCTGGGTCTGGGTCCTCTGTAAGAGCAACTACCACTGAGCATTCACTCCAGCTCCAGCAATAGTGTTTGTATTTTCTTATTTCCTGCATGGACTAGACCAGGCAGGCAGAACTGTGGTGTGGGCCATTCTTGCTTTCACCGTGAGTGTTGATGTCTGCTGTGGTTTGTTCTTAGTTATGGATAATACACACACACACACACACACACACACACACACACACACACAGATATAGGTATAGTGTCTGGGTGGTGGTGGTGGTGCATGCCTTTAATCCCAGCACCTGGGAGGCAGCGGCAGGCGATCTCTGTGAGTTTGAGGCCATTTGGTCTACAAAGCAGGTTCTAAGCCAGCCAGGGCTGTTCACAGAGAAAACCTATCTTGAACCCCCCCCCCCCCAAAAAAAAAAATTACAGCAACTTCACCCTTCTTATTCTGATTTTACAGAGTATCCTGAGTGGATAACTCTGACGGCCTCTGAGGTGACCACGTAGCTTTTCTTCTGTGACACATTTTCTTCTGTCATAATGTAAGGCATAATGTTTATAATTTAAAAGAAAAGAAAAACCTAGAAGGCAAAGCAGAGCTTGTTCTCAGAAAGGGCATAGCTCAGTGGCTGGGAGGCCGTGTAGGAAGCTCGGATGCATGCTGGCTTTTCAACTGGAGTTGGATCTGGCTCTGGGGGTGGGGCTGTAAGGACAGCACTGCTCACCAAGCTGCTCTTTTGCAGGAACACTCTGGACGTGTGTTTCGGCTGCAGTTTGATGAGTTTCAGATCATCAGCAGTTCTCATGATGACACTATTTTGATTTGGGATTTCTTAAACGTGCCTCCCAGTGCCCAGAATGAGACACGCTCTCCCTCTAGAACCTACACCTACATCTCCAGATAGCGGTCTGCACTTTGGCCCAATCTGGTGAGTGTGCTGAAACCCTAGCCCTACCTGGGCTCTTCAAGGCCTTGCTCGTGGGCTTTCCCTTTCTTCTGGGAATTCCCTAGTGATGTGAACAAGCCTCTTCTGGACCTAGCAGGTGAGATCCGGGTGGTCCCACGATAGAACCCTGCACTCCTTGGCTTTCCCATCAGTGTTAACAGGTGAGGGATGTGGTTGCTGTCTTAAAAACTGGCTCCCTAAGTGATTTCCAAAATGCTCATGGTCATTATGCACCAGGACAACTTCAGCTTTGATTTTTGAGTGCAGGAATCAACCTTTTTTTCCCCTAGTCCCTTGGTTCTGTGACAGACAGACAGACAGACAGACAGGTGCATGTGCACAGATTCCTTTTCTTCCCACCACCACAGTCCACTCTTCATTGCTATCTCCGAAAGGAGTGATCACTGAAGTGTGCTGTGAGCCTTGAAAGCCATCCTTCATGGTGAGGGTGGCAGGTGCTTTGGGAAGCAAGTCCTTTGCTCTAGTTACAGAGCCATTACACTGTTGGTGACAGAATATGCTCACCAGTATGCACAAAGGATGGTCCACTTGCCCACATCCCAGATACCCATAACTACTGAGAGCAGCATTCTCAACTTGAAGATTTGCCAGGGGCCACTGGATTGTGTGCAAGTCACACTTCGTAGACTTAATACCTACCCACACTAATGTGAATATATGTATATCAAGACTTGTGGTTAAAATTCTCTTAATTTAAAAACATTACTTAATTCTTTGTAGCTTTTTACTAGTATTTTCTTTTTTATTAAAAACTACAGCCGGGCGATGGTGGCGCACACCTTTAATCCCAGCACTCGGGAGGCAGAGGCAGGTGGATCTCTGTGAGTTCGAGACCAGCCTGGTCTACAAGAGCTAGTTCCAGGACAGGCTCCAAAGCCACAAAGAAACCCTGTCTCGAAAAACCAAAAAAAACAAAACAAAACAAACTACAAAACACCCATGTATAAAATTGAGACATTGTGGGAATGGAAAGATTGAGAACTCTGAATACCAAGTCAGCCAAAGTCCCGTCATTTCAGATATTCTTTAGTCAAGATTCTGACTCCCATAAATGACTCTGAAGAAGTGCGCCTTGTTCAGGGCTAACACACTGTGGCCAAGCACTGAATTTACCTGTTGTATGCTTTGTTTTTTATGCCACTCCAGGCCAAAAATAGTTCTTATATTTTAAACACTTGAAAAATAACATAAAGAAAACTTCATGTCATGTACAAATTATATATTAAAATTCTAAACTCCATCAAGTCAGTTTGATTGGCGCACAGCTGTGCTCATTTGTCCACGTTTACCATGGCTGTGTCTGTGCTTCAGTGGCAGAATTGAGTAGTTGGGACAAAGCGTACATAGCCTGTAACATGTCAACCAAGCCCTGTGGAGCTCTTTAAGAATCAAGAATCTTACCAACAATGGCAGATCTGTGCAGCCTTGGACAACTCACTTTGACCAGTAGTGCTGGTTGGGGGAACAGCTCTGATCCTAAATGACACCTGCTGTGTGTGTGGGAGCCCATCAGCAGGGATCTGAGAGCCACTCAGATGTTTACTGCTCCTGGTCTCCCATGTGTTAACACTGTGTCTGCCTAAACAGACATTTTCTCCCCCACTACTTTCTCTTGGAAGATTCTTTATAAGTCCATTGAAAAATCCACCTGGCAGACTCTTGTATTCTTTCTTGAGCCTGCCCTCTGTGTCCCTCCCATGTCCTGTCCAATTACTGTCTGTTCTCCTTTCTTCTCCAGGGTTTCCTGATCTTGAACTACTGGCTACATGGCTACCACATGCCTAAGGGAGTTCGTTGACAGCTGAATTCTGGGGCTGGAATTGGTTCTAGATGCTGGGTAGACACAAAGCAGCCCCACTCTTCAAGCCCCAACATTTCCCACCGCCGCCTCTGGCTCTACTTGTAGAAGGACAGCTCAGCTTACCACCTGCAAGTAGAGCAGAGCTCATGTCCCTCCCTTCAGTGAAGAACCCAACGCTTCCGATGCACATGTTCACGTGAAGGACACATGGCCTGTTCTTCAGAAGCAGAGCGACCGTCAGGAGAAGACTTGCCTCTAATTTACATCGCTTTGCACCTTGGTTTGGTACTAAAGTCAGCGTTGCATTCTTGGTGAATGTTGGGTGTTGAGGGCTTTCCTCTCCAGCAGCAGCCGCAGCAGCAGCAGCTTCTCCTTAGACCTTCAGGCCACTGTATTCTGACGTGCATAGGAATGTGTCGGACAATGGACAGCTCTGGATTATTTTAGTATTTTTGGATTTCACTTCCTTTCTGTACCAGTTTCTTTTAATTTAAAGAATAAGTGAGTTATATTGCCTCTTCACAGGTAATATAGCTGTTTTCTTTTATTAACTGTTCTCTGTTCCCTCATCATTTCTTGGTATTTGGTAGAGTAACACCTTCATCCATGTGCTTGCCTCCTAATTTAAAATACTGTCCCCGCATGTAGATATAATGTACATAACAATGAAGCTCAAGGTTGCCGTGCTGGGCCCACAGCAGAGACACTACTGTGGAGTGCGCACTAGCGCAGGTGGGCGGGACCCTGCTCCAGGGTTGCTGTGACCCTAGAGCTGTCCTGCAGTATTCACTCGCCCTTCTTTTGTCGCGTCTGTGTGCCGTGCTTTCCCATGGGACTGCAGGAGTCTAACACGATGTTACTCGTTTTGTGGCATCTGCAGTGGACAGGTATCTGTGCGGTCTCTATGTCACTGTTCTTTTCCTCATGTGTACCCCTCTGAGAGCTGGGGGTCACTTCATCATGGTGATCCTTGGCTTTTCTGTCCAGCATCCTTCTCTGTGGCAGTAACCCTGAGACAGGGGAAGGCAGCCCCATTGACTGGGCTCCTGGCTTGGGGCTCCCTGCACTCTGCAAGGTGTTGGAGGCTACTGAGTTAGAGCCTGCAGAGCAGGTCAGCTGTTGAGAGCCCACATTGAGGTCAAGCACTCGTATGTTGAGCACAGCCTCAGGCCCCGTCAGCTCTGTTGTCCCTCATCACTTCAGTCCTCAAAGCTCCCGGCATGAGAGAGACACAGACAGGACATTGGTTGACATGATTTCCCTCTTTCAAGATTAGGTTTTGATTTGCCCCTCACCATTGTTCCCAAAGATCAAGGAATGTCAGTTCCCTTTAAAGGACCAACCAGCCCTCCCTGTGAATGGAGCCTCTTCCCATGGAAGCACACTCAAGGAGAGAGAAAGCTCTGGGCTCCACTTGTCCTGGCATTGTGATGGCTGTGGGCTCTGTGTGTTGGTGATTTGTTTACTGGGTTGGTGATGCTTTTTAGATATTGGTTTCTTTTCTTTCTTTCTTTTTTTTTTCTTGTTTGTTTTGATACATCGTTCCTCACATGCTTCTCCATTTGTCTCTGAGAGGTGGGGGCTCAAATACGTAGAAAGAAGGCCCCTGTCTATAAGGGGGAGGTGTGACCACACCACCTCACAGCTCACCATCCGTTTGACAGGAATGCCCAGGGGAGAGGGAGAGGGGAGGAAGTGAGTTCTGGACAATTGGACTTTTTTGTTGTTTTTGCATGTTAAATATAGAAGTTCCTGTCGATCCTTGGGAGATCATGGCCTTCAAATATGCACACGACCTTTGAATTGTGCCTACTAAATTATAGCAGGGGACTTGGGTACCCAAGGAATTCCAATTTCTGGGATTACGGTAGTAATTCCCAGTTGTACTCTGGACTTTATTTTGCTAACCGTAATTGAGCAACTGTAAATTACTGCTATATTAATGTGTTAAAGCACTGGGGTAGTCTAATTCTAACTGGTAATTAATTATGTTTGCCAATTATCTGTTTGAAATAAATATGTGTCTGAACAGCTATTGAAACTGTTAAATTGTACAGATATTATCATGACGGCTTTGTACTGTGGAATGTGCTTAATAAAAAAAAAGTTTGACCTTTGTCCAGTAAATTGCTAAGTAATGTCAGTAAATCAAGATGAGTATTATGCCGTACACCTGACCTGGCTTCATGGCGATTGTTACTTCAGCTACTAATTCAAAGCCAATACTCTCAATAAAGTGTTGCAGTACTCCACTGTTCTGTTACATTTTTCAGAAAAACAGTTTTGTGCTGTCAGGAATTAAGCGACCTACCTAAAGGTGGATTTTCAAGGTCATCTGGTCTGTAAGGTGAAGCTGAAGGTGGTGTTTCTGGCCTGTGGAATTCATCACCTAATGCTCTCCCAGAAAGCTTCAAGAGCTGAGGGCCCCTTGCCAGCAGATGGGCGTTGCGGGTCTGCTTCATTTCTTCATGAGATCTGTGAAGTAGGAAGTGGCCCCAAGTACTTCCAGGTGAGAGGATCCTTCCTCTGGAAACGGTGCGAGCGACAGGGCTACAGGTGCAGGAAGTGAGCAGGCGTGAGAGTGGGCTTTCCGAATGAAACAAGATGACCTGATCCCATGAGCTTGGATGAGAAAACTAATTTACAACCCAAAGAGTAGAGTGGGCTGCTTCCTCCACATCTCTCCCTGCCCTTCCCCCTCTGTGGTGATCACCCCATGCCATGCTTGTTCAATGGCTTAGTGTTTGGTTATAAGGATATATCTTTTTGCCAGTTCAATTGAAAGTGGAGATTGGCTTGTTTCTTGCCCAACTGTTGTAAATACAAGTAAGCTGTTCCCTATGGTTTGGGCTAGTTCTTAGGAACAGCAAGGGATAAACTCTCAGTGTGGTTTGGGGGTGGGATGGGAGGGTGGAATAGTAGCTTGGACCTTGTACTGGATAGTTTCATGTCAACTTGACACAAGTTAAAGTCATCTGAGAGGGGAGCATCAATTAAGAACACGCCTCCACCATGCTTCCCTAAGACGGGGCTGCAGGCAAGCCCGTAGGGCATTTTCTTAGTTAGTGATTGGTAGGGGAGGGCCCAGCCCACTGCGGGTGGTCCTGGGGTCTCTAAGAAGGCACTCTGAGCAAGCCAGGGGAAGCAAGCCATAAGCAGCACTCCTCCACGGCTTCTGCACCAGCTCCTGCCTCTAGGATCCTGCCCTGTGTGAGTTCCTGTCCTGACTTCCCTCAATGATGAACTGCAATGCGGACGTGTAAGTGGAATAAACTCTTTCTTTCCCAACTTAGGTTTTGGCCATGATGTTTATTTGCAGCAGTAGAAACCCGAACTAAGACAGATCATGGCCTCTTTTTCCTCCCAGAGCTGGTAAAGACTCCCTTCCTCCCTGCTTTTATCCTTCTTCCTGTGCTGGGGTTTGAGGGTCTCGTACCCCTCAGCTGCCATCAGAGATGAGCTGTCCTGCCATTCCAGCCTGCTTGTCCTCTAAATAGTAAAGATTCCCACCAGCCATTTGGCTCATGATCCTTCTCCCTGTTAGCTGCCTGGCTTTTCTGCTTGGGGTCTTTGCTGCCTGTCAGGAAGGCACAAGGCAAGCCCAGATGACTCCAGGAATGCAGACCCAGTGATGCCAGGTTTCAAGGTAACCCGGAAATCTAGATCACCTCTCCCAACTTCCAGAAGCACTTATTTTTTAAGATGTATTTCCTATGGCCATGCAGTGGTGGCACACGCCTTTAATCCCAGCACTCAGGAGGCAGAGGCAGGCACATCTCTGAGTTTGAGGCCAGCCTGGTCTACAAAGTGAGTTCAAGACAGCCAGAACTGTTATACAGAGAAACCCTGTCTTAGGGGGGAAAAAACCAATGTCTTTTTATTTTGTATGTGAGCATTTTGTCTGTCTTGGTTTCTGTCACCGTGATAAAACACCACGATCAAAAGCAATTTGGGGGAAGGGCTTAGGCCTGGAGGCAGGAAGTGAAGCCGAAGCCATGGGGACTGCTGCGTACTGGCTTGCCGGTGCTGGCTTGTTCAGTCTATTTTCTTCTACCAGGACCATCGGCCTATGATGGCCCTGCTCACAGTGGGCTGGGCACTCGCACATCCATCTTTAATCAAGAGCATGCCCTAGAGGCTTGCCTGTAGTCTGGTTATATAGAGTGGAGACATTTTCCCAACTGAGGTTCCCTCCTTTCAGATGACTAGCCAGCACTGCCTGCCTATATGTAGGTCTGTGTACCAAGTTATGCAGTGCCTGCAGAGGCCAGAAGAGGGCGCTGGGTCCCCTTCAACCGGAGTTGCAGACAGTTGTGAGCTACGATTGGGTGCTGAGAACTAGGCCATCTCTCCAGCTTCTGGGAATTTTTTTTTTTCTTTTTAAAGCCAGCTTCTTCAGCTTGTGTCTGTACTACTGGGATGGTAAGCGTTTTTAGTGATCTGCTGATTCACTATGTCAGTGAAGGGCTGTGGAGCTTATAGAGGAAAGGGTCAAGATGGATGATAGATATTGTAGCATCCTGTGTAGTCACTGAACATGTTTGTAAAGAGGTAGTTAACAAAAGCCTAGAGGAGGAAGGAGTCCAGAACCAGATTACAGTTTCCCATTGCTGGACTTGGGTTCCCCTTAAAGCAGTGCAGGGTTTAGGTGTAGGGTTGGCTTGGTCTTTACCAGTAGGCTAGCTTTTCTCTGCAGAGCTCCAAAGTCTCCAGCCTCCTACAGGCTCCTTGCATTAAGCTGCCTCAAGGAACATATGGCTGGCTCTTTTCGGGTACCAGCATCTGTCTGAGGAATGGGCAGTGGGTCCTTGAAATCTCTTTGTTTTTGGAATGGCCTCTGTAGGCTATCTGTCTTAGTGCTCACAGTAATCCTCCTGCCTCTGTTCCCAAGTACTGGAATCATAGGTGTGCCCCATAGTGCCCCACGTGAGTCTCTGGTGATCTAGCTCACAGATCCACGGCTGCGTAGGCGCAGCTGTGTGAAGGTGGCAGGGCGGGCAGGCATAGCTGCTCTGGTGGATTCTCAGCTCGAGAGTTGAGAAGATGGAGTCACACTGCTCCTGGCTTTCAACTCCTCCCCATTTGCCTCCAGACCCCTCCAGGAGCAGTTTGGTTTTGTCACTAGTCTGAAACTTCTTCCTGGGCTGGCCTGGGAGAACCCAGGACTTAGAAGACCAGGGTTTGGGTCTTAGGAACATCCCAGCCTAGTGTCCTGGGGAGGTCTCCCTCCCATCCTCAATACCCTTGGTACCAGTTGGCTTCTCTTGCAGGCTGCATCCTGCAAGGGCTCCTCGGCTAGCAGCTGGCAGAGGAAAGGGCAGCTTTGGGCCCAGAGCCTTCGCCTAGGACTGGAGCTCTGTCATCTGTGTACAGGGAGGCCAGCGAGCAAGGACATTCATTGCCTAGAACCCGAGCTTTCACGACTAGGAAACAGGTTGTTTAGAGTACTGGAGGGGACTGAGTGCTATCACTTAAATGATTCCTGGTAGCTCCGTCAGTGGCACGTAAGTAGCTGAGAGTGTGCTCAGCTGGGATGAGCGGTGTCTGGGATGGCATGGGAAGGGACAGATGCAGGTGCTTGCACCAGCCTAGGACTGTTCCCCCCCCCCCCCCCACAGTGCAGCCCTGAGTTTGCATACAGGGTCTAGGCTGTCCATTATGCCCTCTGTGGGGAAGATGGGAGAATGCCTTACCTAGATTTGCTTCTGTCATATTGTTAGGCACAGCTGGCATCTGTAGGTGGCCCTTGCTTCTCTATCCGTGCTCTGTGGGTGCCATGAGGCCAGCAGAGTCCTACCCACACCTCCGCCCCTTACAGAGGGACCAGGCTTCAGGCTGTATGGTCCCTTCATGCTGACGGACCCTCTGCTCATCTCTCCTCCCTCCCTTCCACATCCTTGGCATGTGTTTTGTTGTATTTGTTTTATTTTGAGACAGGGTCTCGCTGTGTAGCCCTGGCTGGCCTGGAACAATGTAGACCTGGCTGACCTTGAACTTGTAGAGATTTACATGCCTCTACCCTCTGAGTGCTAAAATTAAAAAGCATACACCACCCCACCTGGCTTCTGGCATGCATTCTTGATCAATATTGTGTGTGATGTGCCTGGGTCAACACAAGTGTGATTGAGTGCAGGGGGCAGCATGCTCAGGCTCTGTCCTGGGCTAGTGAGCTGGGTGTCACCTGTCCCAACTCAGGAGAAGGATGCTGAGGTCTAGAATAAGGAAAAACACAGGAGGTGGCAGGGGTTAGGTAAGGTAGGGGTGAGGGCTTGCTTGCCTGTGGCAGGGGAGGTAGAGCAGGTAAAAAGACTCCCTCCCATATTGGGTGCATGTCTCCTGTATACCATTAAAAGTGGCGCTGTAGCAGAAAGGGGACACAGTCCCTGCTCTCATGAGGTTTGCATTCCATAAGAAGTAGTCCCCTGTACCTGCTCCAGTGCGCCAAAACACATCAATGACAAGCTAAATTAAGATGAATAAGAGCTATGAACAGATCATGCAGGCAGGGGTTGGAGAAGGTTTGGGATACCTGAGCAAGACCTCAGTGGTAAGGAGTCAGATACATACTAAGTCAAGAAAAGATGTTCCTGATGAAACTATGGAGACACAAAGACCCTGAGGTGGGGAAGCCCTGGAGCACGTATCCAGTTCCCTGGAAAGGAGAAAGGAAGCTGTGGGAAGCTGTGTGTGGACAGGTAGTGCTTTGGAGTCTGAATAGTGGAGGTGTTCTGAGAGGCACTGACCGGAGAGCTGCCTAGAAAAGGGGCTCATGGTTGCTCCTGAGTCTGAAGGGACACGGAGGTTGAGAAGAAAGGAAGGTGAGCTGTAGTCCAGGCAGAACCAGAAAGCAGGTGTCTCCCTGGGAGCAGCGGCTGTCTGCTGCTCACACACTGGACACCTAATCTGGCCTCACACGCCTTCCAGGACTCTGGGATCCCATGGCAGCCTCCAACCTCGCCCTGGCTCCTGCTTGCTGGCTCCCTCCTTGGGAACGTTCCTGAGGCCCATCTGCACAAACAGCCCAGGGCCAGGTCTGCACCTCAGGAACGGGAGATAAAAGGGGCCGTGGGGACTGTTCCACCAAAGGTAAAAGCAGTCTGTAGAATGGGCTATGAGGTTTTGTTTCAGGAAATTTCATCATGTCTCCAAGAAGGAGGGCGGGTGGAGGGAGTGGAGGAAAAATGGAGGGAGAGGGAGAGAGAGAAAGAGAGGGTAGAAGGGGGGATTAGTCCCAGACTTCCTTGCC